GGGGTGGGGGTGGGGGGGTGACAGGGGAGTCCCCAAGGTCACAGGGTGTCCCCGGGGGAGGGTGACCCGGGGGGACAGGAGGGGACAAGGCCACTTTGGGGGTGAGCCCGGGGGACACGGGGATGTCCCCAAGCCTCCTTAGATGCCACCACCAGTGGTCACTTCAGAGGGGACCCCCCCACATCTCCTGGTGGCCCTGGGGGACTCCGGGTGGCCCCGGGGGACACGGGTGACACCGTGGTGGCCCGGGAGGGGACGAGGAACACGATGGCACCCCAAGCCTTCCAAGATGCCACCACCAGCGCCCACGTCGAAGGGGACACCCTGCATCTCCTGGGGACTTGGTGGCCCTGGGGTGACTCGAGGTGGCTCCAGGGGATGCGGGTGACACCGCGGTGCCCCAAGGACACGGGGATGTCCCCAAGCCTCCTCAGATGCCACCACCAGTGGTCACTTCAGAGGGGACCCCCCCGTATCTCCTGGGGACATGGTGGCCCTGGGGTGACTCGAGGTGACTCCAGGGGATGCAGGTGACACCGCCGTGCCCCGAGGACACAGGGATGTCCCCAAGCCTCCTTAGACGCCACCACCAGTGGTCACTTTGGAGGGGACATCCCATGTCTCCCATGGGGGACTCGGGGTGGCCCCAGGGGACGTGGGTGACACCGCGGTGGCCCAGGAAGGGACAAGAAACTTGGCGCCATCTCCAAGCCTTCCTAGATGCCACCACCACCTTGGAGGAGCCCCCTTCCATCTCCCGTGGACGTGGTGGCCTCAGGGGGCCCTGGGGTGGCCCCGGGTGACCCCTTGGGGACACGCGTGACCCCGTGGGGACGTGGGGGCGGGTTGGGGGGCGGTGTCACAGGAAATAGTCGGCCACCGGCTTCTTGGAGGGGATCCCCCGCGTCTCCTGCGGCGCCGCCTCGAAGATGATGAACTCCTTCTGCAGGTGCTCGTCCAGCTCCAAGATGGCCGCCACGTTCCCGCACCTGCCGGGACACGCGTGTTCTTGGCGTGTGCTCGGGGACACGGGCCCGGAGCCACCGCCGTCATGGAGTGACCCCCTCACGGCCATCGTCCCCTTCAAGGCTCATTCACGTCCGCCCCCCTCGCCGTTTCCCATCCCTAGCACTTCTTCACGTGTCCTTAGCATGTTCTTAGCATGTCCTTAGCGTGTTGAGAGCCACCTGCAGCAGCCGTGACCAACCCCACCACAGGGACGGTAACGCTCGAGCCTCGCTTGCCACTCCCCACCCCATGTCCCTTCACCCCACACCTTCATGTGTCCTTAGTGTGTTCTTAGCGTGTCCTTAGTGTGTTCTTAGTGTGTCCTTAGCGTGTTCAGAGCCACCTACCGCAGCCATAACCC